CTCTAGCCACATAGCGCGCCTTGAACACAGGCGGCTCTCCAGGGGGGCGCTTCACCTTGAAGAGCCACCGACCATCGACTACGTTCACCCCAGGAGGGGGAACAGCGTCGACGTAAGTGCTGGTGGACCTCCAAGATGCCATCTCCTGCTCCATGGCAGCTATCCACTGAGAGGCCCAGGGTCCCGAGGTGGCCTCAGCGTAGGTGCGAGGGGTCGGGATGTTGAAGGCGTCTGGGTTACCCTCTTGGACTAGGAGCATGGAGCAGAGATGGGGAGCGGCCTCGAAAAGGAAAGCAAGATCGCACTGCCTGTCCTTCAGAATGTCACTGCCAAGGGCAGGTGCACCCCCGATGGACGGAGGACGGGCAGGGTCAGAGACCAGAGCGGTAGCGTAGTCAAGGCGGCGGGTAGAGGCAAAGTCAGCGACAGAAGCGACAAGCGCGTCAAGGCGCGAGACAGGAACAGACGGGTCTGTAACAAGAGAGGCAAGAACCCGAGAGACAAGGGGACGAGCGGCACGGAGGTAGTCAGACAGCGGGAGAGGTGCAACAGTAAGCGACGAGAGAGGAGGCGACGGGAGGAGGGGAGGACGAGACGAGTGGGAACGGAGCAACATAGGGTGGGAGCGCAAGACAGGAGAGACGGGACGAGCACAAGAGGGACGGCGAGACCAAACGTGGGACAGAGGTGTAGGGCCAGGAGACAGCGGAGGGGACACAAAAGGGGAACGAGGAGGAAGACGGGCCGGGCGGCGGGAGCACAGGGCCGTAGACAGGAAGGGGAGGAGGTGGTGGGGGAGACACCGGCGAGCGGCCAGGGGAGGGAAGGCCGAGCAGGCGAAGAGCGAAGACCGGCGGCGACGGCTGCGGCAGCTGCTACGGCGGCTGCTGCTCGACCCTCGGACCGGCAGAGGCACGACGACTGACGGGAGAACACTCAATGGCAGCACCCGCAGAACCAAAATCCCCAGAGCGAGAACTCCCTCCAGCACCAGCGGCACCCCCAGGCCCGCCAGGACAGGCCACGCCAGGAGCCGCCGGATGAACACCCTCCTCAACGCCAACAGCCCCAAAGGCCAAGAGCGGCAGCAGCGGCGGCGGCGGTGGCGGCGGCGGCGACTGCGAAAGCGGAAGCAAAGACACCGGGGAAGGGGGACACGGCAAGGACACGCCAGGGGGACCACCAGAGTCAGCAGACTCCTCAACGGGGACAACCGACGGGAGGGGAGTGACATGCGAGACACAGGACGGGGCAGGACGAGGCGGGAGGGGAGTAGGGGCTACTGGGGGAGAGGGAGCAAGGTACAAGGGGGCGGGAAACCGGGAGACCTCGGTGAAGGAAGCGAGGTAGAAGGAGACAGACTCGTCAAAGGTGACGTCACGAGAGTGAAGGAAGCGGTCAGGCGGGGGGTGGTAGAAGAGCCAGTCAGACGAGTCCACGGGGAAATCGAGGACGACACAGGGGACAGTGCGGGCAATGAGCTTGTCCGTGCCAGAGGCACGAATGTGAGCAAGGCAACCCCAGACGTGGAACGCAGATGCGTCACCAGGGGACCCGGTCCAAAGGAGGGTCGGCGAAACCTGCGGCCGCTGGGAGCGTGGCCTCAAGTTAAGCTGCTGAGCAGCGTAACGAACAGCGAACGGCCACAGAAAATGGGGGGCATCAGCATGAATCATGGAGGTATGAGCCACCTCCATGACCAAGCCGATGCGGCGCTCAGCAACCCCATTCTGCTTGGGCGAGTCCGGCAAGGTGTACGACGGGGTGATGCCCTTCGCAACTCTCCAAGCCGACCAGAGGCGAACTCGCCGCCACGATCAGAGTGGAGACACAACACGGGGAGACCGCGGTGAAGACGCGCAGCCACAACCCACGGTAGAAGAACTTCGGGCACGGCGGCCTTCCGCTCCAGGGGAAACACCGTGGTGTAGCGCGTGTAGTCGTCGACGAGCACAAGAAAGTAGCGCTCACCACGCAGTCCGGGGACGGGGGCTGGGCCCCAAACGTCCAGGTGCAGGGTCTGAAGGAGAGCAGTAGCAGGGCGAAGCGAGGAGGAGTGAGGAGCACGGCGGAGCTGGCCCTCGACGCAAGGCGTGCACGGTGGCGCACTCAAGGGGGGGAGGCCAGGGAGCGACGCGGGGAGGCCTAAGACAAGACCGTGCTGAGACATGTTACGCATACGCGGGAGAGCAGGGTGACCCAAGCGGTGGTGCCACAAAAGGGACCGGTGTGTGAGAGACCGACACGAGCAAGCTGCAGCGACCTAGGAGGACCCACCAACCGGGGGTGAAGCGGTGTCAAGGGTAAATAGACCGGACACCGGGTCCCGGGGGAACGTCGCAATGGGGGAACCTGAGACAGCCTCGGTACAGACAGCGAACCGCTCGTGCCCAGGGAACGTAGTGGTGACGCCGAGGTCCTGAAGACAGCCGACACCAACCAGGTTCCTAGAGAACGAGGGAACGTGGAGGCTTGTAAGAGAGCCCGAGGGAACGGCTGGACAGGGAAGGGAAGTGGAGCTGCGAGCGACGACAGGGCCCGCAGAGGGGACAGCGAGAGCGACATCAGCAGGCGCAGCAAGCGGCGTGAGTGTGGAGCTGTCGCGGAAGAAACAGGCAGAAGTACCGGAGTATTAGTGAAGGACAGTGAGGCAGTAGCGGAGGCCAGGAACGGAGCCGGTGCAGAAACTAGGCTAGGCAAACGAGGTAGTCCTACGGCTGACGCAGCAGGGGAGGCTAAGCTACACAAGGGTGCTACACTCAAACTAGAGTACACAGGGTAATAAGATCCAGCAACACTGGAAGTGTCGGAATACAAGGCATGCAAAGCAGCACCTATCTGATCCATATCTAACTCAAAGATCGGCACACCCTGGCGGAGCAGGCTGTGCCAGTCGAGGAGGTCCGGAGCCGGGCCAAAGCGACGACGGAAGAGATCGTCGAGGCGGCGGAAATAACGGGCGTTTGGGTGTGGGTGGCGCAACAGAGTGCCGCGGAGAGGCCCGGTCTGAAGCTGGTACAGGTAGGTCACACCAACGGAGCTGCCAGTAGACGCCAAGCTGCGCGGGCCGCCACCATGGCCACCACCGACGGAGGTGCCGGGCCAACCCGGCGGGAGACGAGCCCACGGCGGGGGCTGGGACAGCTGCTACGACGACTGCGACTGCTGCGACGGCTGCGACTGCTCCGACAGCTGCTGCGGCTGCTCCTCCTGCTGGGGTAACGGCTGCTGCTCCTGAATAGCTGCGGCAGTCCCCTCAGTATAGCCACTGTCCCCGGCACCACCACCACTACCACCAGCTCCATCACCACGCCCTCCCTAGCTGCCATGACCGGCGCGGCGCGAGCGCTGCTGCGGGTGGACCGCAATTGCAGTCTCGGTCAGAGGGTTCGCAATGGTGACCGCGGCCGAAACGTCAGGAAACGTACACTGGGAGGGGGCATAGCCGTGAAAGATAGAGACTGCCAGCGCACCGCTCGACTGAGCGATAGTGCGCTGGCGAGTCTCGATCTCGGTCAGGGCGATGACAAAGGCTGGCAGTGTGAGATCACCCGGGTTCTGGCTAAGGATGTGGTCGCGTGCACTAGCAAGGCAGTCAGGCAGTCACATAGCGATAAAGTAGAGGGTCATGCAGAAGGGGGGGGGGGGGGGGGAACGCAGTGAGCTGGGCAGCAGTGCTAGCATTGCGGTAGCGAGACTCTAGGGCTCGCAGGTGAGTGGCAAGGTCAGCAACAGTAGGGAAGGAAGCAAGGTTTGGGAAAAGCATAAAGAAGAGCAGGCGGCTTGCAGTAGCGGAGGCAGGCGTGGAATAGCGAGCAACAACAACATCTAAGTAAGCCTTGGCTGTATCAACTGTAGCGAAACGCGAACGCTGAGACACAGGGAGGGCGTAACTGATCGCGACCTGAGCAACTGCATCGCGAGAGTCCCAGACGGCACAGGCAAGTGCAGCAGCAGAGAAAGTCTCACGCTCAGCAGATGTGGGGTTAGCAGGGAGGGGAGCAGGCGCAGGGGGGCGGGGGAGCAAGCCATCAGCATGGACAACCAAGGAGTGCCCATCCTGGCGCTGAGCTGTGAGTTGACGGCGGAGATCAGACAGCCAGGCGGCGAAGTCAACCGCATGGCCCTCAGCGTCCAGGCGGAGTACGAAGTCAGCCATCGTGCAGGGTCAGCAACACAGCTCCTTAGCGACACAGGGACACAGCGGCACACCTCCACAGGGACACAGCGGCACAGGGACAGAGCGGCACAGGGACACAGCAGTACAGCTCCAGGAGGACGGCTGCAAGACGCTGTGGGCGCGGGCGGAAGCGGGTGGGTGGACCTAACCTACTTCTGATACCATGTTAGAAAGCAAGAATCAATGACTAGTGTGAGAAACCTAGAACATATACCTGTTGGGGTTGTACTCACGAGAAGCACACACCTAGGCTAGCCTATAACTTCTACATACAGCATATGTATAAGTTGACAGGCAGGGCGGAGAGAGCGTGCCGTGTAATAGCTTGGATGCGTTCAAAGCTAAAAAATTGGGTTTGAATACCGCCACTTTTTACCAACGAGGCACATAAACGTGTCCAAAAACCCCAATTGAACTATTTGGACACACTCTAATTCCAACAATCTTGGTGCTTCTGTACGAGTATGATCTGTACGTGATTTAAGACAAACGAGATTTAGGGTGTATGGGGTCAGTACAGGAAGTACCCTAGGGTGGGGGATTTTTTTTGGGTTGCGGAGCAACCTATTGCAATCGATCGGGCTGGTTTTTTTTTTTTTTTTTTTTTTTTTTTTTTTTTTCAAGTTTGTGAAATAAAATCAAATGTTTGTTGTGATGGAAATAAAACATTTTATGTATAATAAAGTCTCATCATGAAATGCTCCGCAACCCTAAGACGATCTCGTCGCCTCTTGTTTCCATCTCGTGTGTCCGACAAAGCTTGAATGCCCTCCCAAACCTACAGTCTCTTCTCGGAATGCTGTTTGTCCCTCCGTCCACCGCCACAAGCAGCCCACTGTTAGCCCACAGAGATTACAGATGACGCACCACCACCCCATTCCACAACTCAAACGAAGAAACTCCGAGGGTTACTATTCAATGTCTGAAAACAGCAGGCAGGCAGGTCGTGCAACTACGTCGATTTGGTGTTCTGTTTCTTCCTGTCCATAACCTATCCCCGCTAAGTCGAGGCCCACTAAGACACACAGTGCAGCACGCCTCGCCTCGCCACCTCCCACGGAAGCGAGAGCGGAGGAAGAAGCATGAGTGATTGGAGCTCGCCGCAGCAGCAGCAACAGCTGCAGCACTCGCCAGACGGGCTCACGAAAGTTCCTGGCTCGCGATGCTCGCTCTTACGTAAGAGCTGGGACGTTGCAATCAGATTAGGCCTGAGGTTTCGCTGCAAGGCGGCATGATGCTTGCATGCTGGCCCCCCTGCTTCGCAGCCGAACCAGCACCTTCAAAGACTGACATTTCCGCCTCGTTTTGGCGGGCAACGCTATTAACCCATTTTTCCTTGTTACTTTCTTTCCTAAGACTAATATCAGAGGTACCTTATCGTGTTTAGCTATCTTCGCTTGCGTAGCATACTCCTCTTCGAATCGCACATGGTTCGCCAGGTCGTGTCGTGCAAAGTCGGATCTTGCTAACCTAACGCTTGTGCCACTGAACCGCTGATCCAGAGTAGCGAAGAAGCGAGGGACGCCTCCGCTGACTTCAACATCGCAGACGCATGCTTTCGTATCCGAGTAGTGGAATTAGGGTTTGCGTATAAGCGGCGCTACAAGGCCATACCGTGTGCCCGCGACGCTAGACGGGCTCCAAGGAGCCTTCGCGGCAAGCAGCGCGCGACGAGCAAATCGTAGGATGCTCTTCCAACGCCGTGTTGCGTGAGAGGTCGTCCCAGACCAGGCCAGGCCAGGCCCGCTACGCGTACTTTCTCGCGTTCCCGGCTACCGTGGAGGAGCTCGGGTGGCGCTGAGGCGCCGTGGCAGCTGTTAGCACCAGGTGTAGGCGAGGACGAGGGGGAGGGGGAGGAGGAGGAGGAGGAGGGAGGAGGAGGAGGAGGAGGAGGAGGAGGAGGAGGGAGGAGGAGGAGGAGGAGGGAGGAGGAGGAGGAGGAGGAGGAGGAGGAGGAGGAGGAGGAGGAGGAGGAGGAGGAGGAGGAGGAGGAGGAGGAGGAGGAGGAGGAGGAGGAGGAGGAGGAGGAGGAGGAGGAGGAGGAGGAGGAGGAGGAGGAGGAGGAGGAGGAGGAGGAGGAGGAGGAGGAGGAGGAGGAGGAGGAGGAGGAGGAGGAGGAGGAGGAGGAGGAGGAGGAGGAGGAGGAGGAGGAGGAGGAGGAGGAGGAGGAGGAGGAGGAGGAGGAGGAGGAGGAGGAGGAGGAGGAGGGAGGAGGAGGGAGGAGGGAGGAGGAGGAGGAGGAGGAGGAGGAGGAGGAGGAGGAGGAGGAGGAGGAGGAGGAGGAGGAGGAGGAGGGAGGAGGAGGAGGAGGAGGAGGAGGAGGAGGAGGAGGAGGGAGGAGGAGCGGAAGCGGAAGGCTTTCTTTTAGTGTCAGCTCAGTAGCAGCAGCAGCAGTAGCAGCAGCAGCAGCAACAACAACAGCAGCAGCAGCAGCAGCAGCAGCAACAGCAGCAGCGTGGACCTAGCAGGAGGCACAGGGCGTGGAGTGGCAGCAGCAGCAGTGAACCGAGTTTCGAGTAGCCCAGCGTCAGCACATAATGCAGCCAGGAACAGACAAAGAAGGCGGAGGTGGAGGCGGAGTGGGAGGAGGAGGCGGAGGGGGAGGCGGAGGGGGAGGCGGAGGGGGAGGCGGAGGGGGAGGAGGATCGGGGGGGTCAGGGAATCCGGGAGGGTCGGCGGCGGCGGCGTTTTTCCCTCAGGGCATGCGCGTGCTGGTGGTGGACGACGACCCGCTGTGCCTCATGATCCTCGAGCGCATGCTCCGCCGCTGCAACTACCAAGGTGCGCCGCCCCACGCTCACGGTCCCATGCTCGCACTGCACCTGCTCGTGCCTGTACTTGCCTGTAGATTGACTCCGGGCGATGACTTTTCCCTGTGCCTGTGGACGTACACGCTGGTGAAAGTACAGGTTCATTCTCAGTTTCCCTTCCTGCAATCGGCTTGCATCTCTCACGCCACGTCACAGCGCTCTCCCTTCCATTGCACTCTCTTCGCCGCCCGCCCTTTGCGTTCATCCTCATGGTCCGGTGCCTGGCACTGCCGAGCATCCCGGCTCGGCCCAGCCCAGCCCAGCCCAGGCCAGGCCAGGCCAGGCCAGGCCAGCCCAGGCCAGCGCAGGCCAGGCCAGGGCAGGCAAGGCAAGCCCAGCCCAGCCCAGCCCAGCCCAGCCCAGCCCTGCCCTGCCCTGCCCTGCCCTGCCCTGCCCTGCCCTGCCCTGCCCTGCCCTGCCCTGCCCTGCCCTGCCCTGCCCTGCCCTGCCCTGCCCTGCCCTGCCCTGCCCTGCCCTGCCCATGGTCTTGCAAGCCTCTGGCAGGGCCACGGTGTTCACCACTCACTGTGCGTCTAGTGCCAACCACTGCTCTTGCCGTCGCATCTTCCTCCAACCACCATTCATCAGCCCTTGCCGCACCATGTCCCAAACTTCCTCCCCCCCCCCCCCCCCCCCGCTGCCCTCACCCCACTCCCGAGGCATCCCTCTTCCGAAGCCTCCCCCCGTGCCCGCGTTCTCCACCTTAGCGCCTCCCACCCGACCTCCCCTTGAAACTGCGCCATACAGGGCGATCAGGCGCAGACGCTGCTGCTGTCTGCGCTGCTGCTGTCAGTGCCGCTGCACAGCGCGCATTCCTGCCTGCCAGTGCCGTTGACCCTTGTCTTACACTCGGTTCCAGCTTGTGCCTTCGCCCCTTGTGTGCACCAGAGCATGCTCTTCGGCGTCATGCCCGTTTCCCACTACTCGCATTCCATCTTTTCCACCCACCACCCCAGCCACCACCCATTCACCCGTGTTGCCCCCTATTCACACAGACCCACACGCCCCCCTCTCTCACCCCCCCCTCTCCCCCTCCCCCCTCCACAACCCCCCTCCATACCCCCCTTCTCCCCCCCCTTTCCCCCCACCCCAACCCCCCCTTCACCCGCTGACTCGACAAACGCGCCGCACGTGGCCGGCCCGCGCTGTTTCCCTTGCAGTGACGACGTGCAACAAGGCGACGACGGCGCTGGCGCTGCTGCGCGAGGGGCGTGAGGCGTACGACCTGGTGATCAGCGACGTGTACATGCCCGACATGGACGGCTTCAAGCTGCTCGAACGCATCGGCCTCGAGATGGACCTCCCGGTCATCAGTGCGTGTTGTGCTGTCGTGTGCCGAGTATTTTTGGAGAGCGGACTTTTTGCTCGTCAAGTATGCTTTTGAGTCGAGCAAGAGTCGCCTATCAAAACACGGCTTGTTTCAAAGAGTGACGCATTGTTTTGCATTTGATGGGTGCACCTTCGTATTATCGTTAGTGATGGGGATTCGTGAGGCGGGTAGCTGGTTGATCGATGGATGGGCAGGCGCATGCCACGTGCCTGTGCGTGCATGCATCCGCTTAGGCTTGAGCAACGGGTCGGGTCGGGTCGGGTAACCCGACCCGAACCCGACTTTTTGACGGGTCGGGTCAGGTTTCCCGTCGGAAGAACCCGACCCGTCGGGTTTGATTTGTACCCGTCGGGTCGGGTCAACCCGAACCCGACATGGACGGGTTCGGGTGAACCCGACATGTCGGGTTGACCTGACCCGACTTCGGGTATACATCGTCGGGTTGACCCGACCCAACCCGAACCGAAGTCAGGCCGTGCCTCGACCTGACGCAATCTGCACGACCTGAGTTGCGCAGATCTGGAAAGTCTGACGGTTTGGTCGAATGTTTGACCAGATGGGCCATTTTCCAGATCCTACTTAGGCTACCTCCCATTTTTACCCTGCATCCAGCTCATTCCTAACACTAATCTACTCCCCACCATGCTTATTTGATCGACAAATTTCCATATCGGTTTCTATTGGATCGACACAACCAACAAGCTCCTCGACACCACCACCAACCCAACCAACTTTTCGCCAACACGCCCAACCAAACCAACTTTTCGCCAACACTTCCAAACCAACCAATTTTCGCCAACACGCCCAGCCCAACCGAATTTTCGCCAACACGCCCTACCCACCGAATTTTCGCCAACACCCGCAACCAAACCAAAATCTCGCCAACACCCCCAAGCCAACCAATCTTTCGCCACACCCCTAAACCAACCAAAAAGTCGCCAACACCCATTCATTCCGTCACTGGTTTTCATCAACATCCTCCAACTTAACCAATACTTCGCCAACACCCAAAACCATATGTCGAGGTTGCGGGGGGATGAGGAGGGTGGGCTAGGAGACGCGAGGAGGACTCACTGGAGGACTCAGCTGTTCCCCCCTGGGGAAAAAATAGCTTCTAGTTAGGTCGGGTCAAGTCGGGTCGGGTCGGGTCGCATCAACCCGACCCGACCGCGGGTAGGAGCTGACCCGACCAGCTATGGTTGGGTCGGGTCGGTAAAAATCTAACATCGACCCGACCTGACCCGACCTGACCCGACCCGAACCCGACCTCGGGTTAGGCAAAGTCGGGTCGGGTTAATGCTCAAGCCTACATCCGCTCATGTGAATGTGCTCTTGCGTGCCTTGTTTGCTTGGTGCTATGATCGCATCAAGCCAATCGTTTTGAATGGTCTGCGTTGTTCTCTTTGTTTGCTTTGTTGGCTTGTCCCCAAGCGCACTCTTGCCTGTGTCGTGCATATTTCCACATGCCCTTGTGCATGTTCCGTTGCTCTTTCTGTGTGCACATATGCATGGGTGTGCGCCGATGGGTGCACTCTATGTGCGTCTGGGCATGCCTGCTGCACTTGTATTTGTGTGGCTCTGTGTGGGGTGAGAGGGAGGGGAGGGGGTGCGTGTCATGGGGAAGGGGGGTTGGGGTGGCTTCGCTTGGGTGCATATGCGTATGCGCATGTGGCGCATACATGCATGTGATGTGATGCATGAGTGTGTGCAAGCATGGGTGCATGGGATTCGCGCATGTGTACCTGCTTGCGTGCGTGCATGTGCATGCATGTGTGTGCATGGCAGTGATGAGTGCCAACGGCGAGACAAGTGTGGTGATGAAGGGCATAACGCACGGCGCCGTGGACTACCTCTTAAAGCCCGTGCGCATTGAGGAGCTCCGCAACATCTGGCAGCACGTCGTGCGCCGCCGCTCTCACCACCACGCCAAGGCAAGTACTACTGCCAGGCATGCGTGAGTATGGTCTGGAACATGGGGCAGGAACATGCTTAGGTTGCTGCTATTCATTCGCTCTCCTCGCACCCTTGCTGCTCCCCCCAGTCCCCCCCTTATGAAGGAACTAGCTTTGAGGAGAAAAAGATAGATTGGGTAGGGAGCCAAGAGACTCTTTTGTACAAACAAGGAGCAAGGAAGAGATGGAGGGGAAGGTCTCCCATTGGCCGTAATGTAGACCAATGGGAGAGGTAGCTTGGAGGACAAGCAACCACAAAGTGTGGTGCTTGGTGATTGGTTGGGTCGTGGGACCAAGGACCATTTGGTTGGAATAGTGCCAACCAAATGTCTAGGACCAAATCCAATCTTGACCAACCCAAATGTGGGGTTAGTCAACCCAACCAACAACCCCCCAATAAATATAATGACTACACCTCCTAATTTAGGCATGCATGTTGTAAACATATATATTTTACAACACAACCCCCCAACATGCATAAGACTAGATGTCGTGAATCAAGAGGCAGACGAGGGAACAGGGGGAGCGAGTCCAAGAAGGCGAAGGAGGGATGAGTGGGCGGCATGGGGGAGGGCTTTGGTGAAGATGTCGGCAAGATTGGCGGCAGAGTCAATCTTGCCCAGCTCCAGGTGGCCACCCTGCACGAGCTCGCGAATGAAGTAGTGGCGAAGCTCAATGTGCTTGGAGCGCCCGTGGAGCACAGCATCCTTCGTGAGATGGATGGTGCTGGCGTTGTCGCACCAGATGGTGGGAGAGCGCTGAGGGTAGGGTTGAGCAAACTACCCGCCCGGGTCGGGTACCCGGTACCCGGACCCGCTTTTAGGGCGGGTCGGGTATCGGAAATCCTGAAAATTACCCGCCGGGTCGGGTCCGGGTTACCCGGGCCGGGTATCAATACCCGCTACCCGGAATGCTACCCGACGTGTCGGGTAACGGGTACCCGACCCGGTCGGGTAAAAAATTACCCGAGGTGGGGTATTCCACTTAGACATGGGCGTAAGTCGCGCTGTGTTTTAGGTTTTGCGGCAAAACAGTTTTGGAGGTGAGGGGGGACGAGTGGAGCCCTACCTAGCTAGCTGTCACAGGATCGAATGTGTCGAGGAAAGGTTGCACTATCGATCGGTACAAGGCGCTTTTATACTTCCAGAATACATCAGGTAACCAGGTTTATCTTATCCTAAGGGAATAGACCCTTCTAGAAGATAGAATCACCCTGCGTATAGCCACGCGAGGCTATTGGCTTTAAGGGATTACAGCAGGATTACGCTAGATAGCGTGTCTAGAACATTCCATGCCTGGTCGGTGATATAATAATAATAAAGGAAGAAACCAAAGGATAATGGAAAATGGGGAATATGAGGCAAAAGGAGGTGAGATAAAAAGAGGAATGAAATGAAGATGAAATATGGAAAAGGCCAAGTGGTGTAACGGAGTCGTACTCTCACACTTCCCCCCCTCAAAGCTGGGTGGTAGAAGTAACACCCTGCTTGACAAGGTAGTCATGCAGAGGACGACGGGCGTTACCCATGTCGGACTCAGAGACCCAGCTGTCCTCAGAAGGATCATAACCCTTCCAACGGATGAGAAGTTCCACGGTGCCATTCCGACGACGACGATGTGCAAGCACGGACTCGACCTCGTACTCGGGTTCGTTCTGGACGAGGACGGGCGGCGGCGGCGGCGGCTGGCGTCCGACGAAAATTGTGTTCGGGTCCCGATAGGGCTTCAGAAGTTGGACGTGGAAGGCGTTGTGAATCTTCCAGGTAGCTGGCAGGCGTAAGCGGAAGGTAACAGGAGTGACCTGTGCTTCAACGAGAAAAGGCCCGCAGAAGCGAGGTCGCAGTTTAGATGGGAGATGGCTTATGTCCAGGTTGCGGGTGTCAAGGAGAACCTGGTCTCCCACGGAAACGGTGTGGTCGTTGCGATGGCGATCGGCCTGGCGCTTCTGTTGCTGTTGAATGTCAAGGAGGCGCTTATGGGTCCGATCCCAAAGTTGATGCATGGTTGTAATGAAATCATGTGCGGGTTGGACTGTAGGTGATGCTGTCGGTTTTTGTGGTGTGAGTGGGTGGCGTCCGTAGCAGAGGAAGAACGGCGTCTGTCCCGTAGCGGCGTGTGTAGCGTTGTTGTAGGCAAACTCCAGGACGGGTAGGTGCAAGTCCCATTTGGAGATGTCGTCCTTGCAGGCTGCTCGGAGGAGTTGCTCCACAATTTGGTTGAGGCGCTCGGTCTGTCCGTCTGTCTGCGGATGGTATGCGGATGACATGGCGAGTTTGGTGCCGAGCAGAGACATAAGTTCCTTCCAGAACTTGCTAGTGAACTTGGGGTCTCGGTCGGAGATGAGTGTAGTTGGGATGCCATGCTGTGAGATGATGTGACGAATGAAGAGCTGTGCTGTCTCCTCGGTGCGTGCCGTCGTGTGTGTCGGGATGAAGTGTCCCATTTTGGAGAACTTGTCAATGACGACAAGGATGGCGTCATGACCGCTGGAGGTAGGTGGTAACCCGGTGATGAAGTCTAGGCTAACCACTTGCCATGGTTGTTCTGGGACAGGAAGAGGCTGCAGTAGTCCCGCCTTTTTCTGCTTGCTGCTCTTCATCCGCTGACATGTATCACACGAGGTGACGAATTTCTGGACGTCGTCTGCCATATGGGGCCAGTAGTAGTGTTTGGCGATACCGGTGAGCGTCTTGTTGCTACCGAAGTGTCCGGCGTACAGGACGTCGTGGTATTCTTCGAGTAGTAACTGGCGCAAAGGAGGGTAATTGGGTACCCAGATTTTTGTGGATCCCTTCCGGTACGCGATGGCACTGTCCCACTGTAGCAGATGTCGCTTTTCTGCCAAGGGAATTTCGGGGTCGATGGCGTACCCGTGGGTGAAGAGTCCCTTGAGTAGTGGATTCATCCCTTCGACCTGAATCGCGGCAACGTGTGCAGGCCGGCTGAGCGCGTCTGCTTTGTTCTTGTGGCCGGGCTTGTACACGATGTCGTAGTGGAAGTGTGTCTCGAGGAAGTCGATCCACCGGACCTGCCGCCTGGAAAGGTTGGGTTGTGTCTTCAAATATTTCAGGCTGCAGTGGTCGGTGTAGACGGTTGTTCTGCGTCCTTCGAGATAGCATCTCCACGCTTTGAAGGCGATGACAATGGCAAGGGCCTCTTTGTCGTGTATCGGGTAGTTGAGTTCTGCCCCGTGCAGTTTCTTGCTGAGGTAGGCAATTGGTTGCAGTCCATTCCCCTGGTCTTGCATTAAGACTGCTCCCACTGCCTGGTCGCTGGCGTCTGCTTCGATTACGTAGTCGCGTTCGGGATCTGGCAAGATGAGCACCGGTGCGGACGTTAGTGCTTGTTTCAGCTGCTCCACGGCTTCCTGGTGCTTCGTCTCCCATTTGTAGGGCGTGTTCTTCTTCAGCAGATTCGTGAGTGGTGCCGCGAGTTTCGCATACTGTGGCACGAACCTGTTGTAGTAATTAGCGAAGCCTAGGAACTGCTGCAACTCCTTCACGTTCTCGGGTGTCTTCCACGTACGTACGGCTTCGATTTTCTTGGGGTCGACGTGAACTCCTTGAGCGCTCACCATGTGGCCTAGAAATTGGACTTTCTCCAGGGCGAATTCGCTCTTGGACAGTTTGACGTAGAATCGTTCTCGTCGAAGAATTTCGAAGACGCGTCGCAGGTGTTCGACGTGCTGCTTCATGTCGCGCGAGTAGATGAGTATGTCGTCCAGGTACACCACCACGCATTCGTCCAGAAGTGGTCGTAGAATGTGGTTCATTTCGGCTTGGAACGTTGCCGGTGCGTTGGTGAGTCCGAACGGCATGACCAAATACTCGTACGATCCGTACCGAGTTCGAAAAGCAGTTTTGTGGATAGAGTTGTCCGCCATCCGTATCTGCCAGTATCCGGACCGCAGATCCAGTTTGGAAAATACCGTAGCTCCCCGAAGCTGGTCAAGCAGGTCATCGATTCGCGGTATCGGATATTTATTCTTGATGGTCTGCTTGTTAAGAGCTCGGTAGTCGATGCACATGCGCAGGCTTCCGTCCGGTTTCGGTGTGAAGAGTAATGGGGCACCGTATGGCGAAGTAGATGGTCGGATGAGTCCTTTGGCTAGGAGATACTCGATCTGCTTCTTCATGTCGGTCAGCTCCGTAGGGCTGAGCCGGTATGGTGCTCGGAAGGTCGGCTTCGAACCCGGTTCCTCCACGATCTCGTGTTGATGCGTTCGGTATGGCGGTAGCTCGTTCGGAAGATCGTCAGGAAGAATGTCTTGGAACTCCTTCAGTAATTCCTTGATCTTTCCTGGAGTTTCCGAGGCTTTCTCTCCGTCATTCTCCACCTCTGTTGCTATCGCCAGGAACCCGGTGTCGGTCCGCTTCACGTCCTTCTCGAATCGTGCGAGTGTCTCCACTGGGATATCTCCAGTGTCGTCCCAGTTGGGTAGCTGTACTCTCCGTCCATTGTTGTAGATGCTTGCGGTGCGGTTCACCCAGTTGATCTCGGGGTTGAATATTTTCAGGAAGTCTCGCCCGAAGATCAAGTCAAGCCCTTTGATGTTGGTGATGGGGAGTGCAGGTCTCCAGCGCAGTGGTCCAATTTGTAGATGTAGCACTGCTTCGCCGTGTACTGGTAATTTGCTGCCGTCCACCATCGTTGCAGAGAATCCTGAAGGCTTGTACTCTTCCCGGAGTCGGTCGATCATTGCCTTGTCGCAGACGGTGTGTGACGCTCCGCTGTCCACGAGTGCTTGGAGGCGTCGTCCTTTGCAGATGACCTCGAGCACGAGGGGCAGTCGTTGCTCGGAGTACCCAAAGATAGTTTCATTGATTGGGTCATAGGGTACATCCCAATATTCCGTACACACCTTTGTGTTGTTGTCTACTCCTGAGCTGGCAGCTGGCCGAGGCTGCTTGGAGAACGGCTCTTCTCCAGGGCCCGGAGTTTCTTTGACGACTGTGCGCGTCACTGATGCCGAAGAACTGGATGCATCCGTAGAAGGAGTTCGGGGTTTGTGCAGCTTCTTGTAGACCCCCAGCTTCCTCTTGAGCTGCTTCAGCCCCACCGACGTCTTCCCTGGGGAGCGGGTAGTCGTTGTGGGCTGGTGTCGGGAGAGGACGTTGACTCCGTGGAAAGGTCGGCTTCTTTCCACACTCCTTAATTTGGTCCCCAAGTTGTCCGGTACCGGTATAATCTCCACAGCTGTCTGCTTCTTTTGGAGTCCCTCCCGAATTTTCTCCAAGGCTCTAGCTCCTCGAAAATCATAAGTTTTCATTAAAGCATCTTTATAGGATAGCTTTAACGAATTCTTATAATTTCTTGGGTCTTCAAGGAGTTTCCCTGTCTCGGCAGAGTCTTTTTTCGCGGAGTCGTATTTTTCCTCGGCGATTTTCCCTGGCGAAGACTGGTCGTGGGGTGGAGATTTTCCCCCATCATTTCCTCCTGCTCGCGTCGAATCAGCTTCGTCGAAGTTGATTTTCTCGGAATCCCGCGGCCGTTTCCGGATCTTTTTATTTTCGCCAGCTAGATCCGCAATCACTGGCGACTCCCGTTTTTTGTCTTCTGATTGGCCGGAAGATTTCCGCCACTGTTGCGTGCCCGATACTCTGCGCGTGCGGCCTTCATTTTGTTGCAGTCGAAGATTCGGTGGCCCGGCACCCCGCAAAAATCACACGTGTAGTTGGTATTTTTCGGACGTGGCCGCCCCTCGAATCTGTCGACTTCCATCGGGTCGGCGAACGTGGGGTGAGCCGAGCGGTCGCCATGTCGCGTACTGCCGACGTGCGTCCGTCGTGTTCCGGCGTTGACCATGTCGAAGCGCTCCGCGGCCGAAACGACGTCACTGTAGCTCGCGTAGTTTGACGCTGCCACCTGTCGTTTGACTTCGGTCTTCAGCCCGGCGAGGTACGATTGTACTTTTTCCCCTTCGGTCAGGTCGGGAATGCGGTTATAAAATTCCTCCATCTGCTGCGTGTACTGTGCTACACTCCCGAACTGTCGGTGTCGATGAATTTTTTCGCGGGCAAGGAAACCTGAATTTATCGGTTCGAAGCGTTTCAGCAGGTCGGCGCGGAACTGCTGCCACGTGGCTTCACCGTGGATGAAGGTGCTGTTGCCGCCAATCCACTCGAGTGCCGGCCCTCGCATTAGTGTCGCCGCGAGTCGTACGCGTTGACCGTCCCAGACTGGCGAGCTCCATCCGACGGCTGCGAAGTAGATCTCCATCCCGGCGATCCATCTGCGGGCGTCGGAGTTTCGATCGCTCGGATCGAACGGCTCAGGTGGGCGCGGTTTCGGAGCCTCGAGAAACTGCTGCGACTGCTGCGTCGTCGCCGTTGTCGTCTCGTGCTGCGCTCCGGCGAGTCGAGTTACTCGCTCGAACTGGTTTCGCCACGCTTCGCGATCCGCTCGCATTTCCTCCTGAAGGGCTGCGATGCGCGCGAAGAGCTGCTGGGTAACCTCGGCGTTGTCGAAGGTTGCCATCCTGTTCAAAACACGCACGGAGGGGGTAATTCGAAAATCGCGGAGCTGGTGCTTACCAGAATCGGCGTCGAATTGGTCGCCCCCGGCGGTTTTTCGAGGCAGGATCCCCGCTGCTGCTGCTTAGCTGAGCGCGGCCGAGTGAGAAAAGCTCTGATTACCAAGTGTCACAGGATCGAATGTGTCGAGGAAAGGTTGCACTATCGATCGGTACAAGGCGCTTTTATACTTCCAGAATACATCAGGTAACCAGGTTTATCTTATCCTAAGGGAATAGACCCTTCTAGAAGATAGAATCACCCTGCGTATAGCCACGCGAGGCTATTGGCTTTAAGGGATTACAGCAGGATTACGCTAGATAGCGTGTCTAGAACAATCCATGCCTGGTCGGTGATATAATAATAATAAAGGAAGAAACCAAAGGATAATGGAAAATGGGGAATATGAGGCAAAAGGAGGTGAGATAAAAAGAGGAATGAAATGAAGATGAAATATGGAAAAGGCCAAGTGGTGTAACGGAGTCGTACTCTCACACTAGCCCTACCTAGCCTAGCCCTACCTAGCCTAGCCCAACTTTAAGATGTCCACTAGTAGGTGGCGGGTAAAATTACCCGCTTTTCAGGGGGTCCGGGTCGGGTATACCCGGACCCGCCAGGCGGGTATTATAATACCCGCCTAAAAAAACCGGGTCCGGGTAAGGGTCCTGGGCATATTACCCGACCCGGACCCGACCTGAAACTACCCGACCCGAGGTCGGGTATGGCAAAACCGGGTCGGATCGGGTAATTACCCGGTTTTGCTCATGCCTAGCTGAGGGGCACCAAGCTCCTCAAGAAGGAAGATGAGCCAGCGAGCCTCCTGCGCAACCATAGTAGCGGCATATAGCTCTGCTTCGCAGGAGGAGAGTGCAATGGAGGAGGAGCGGGTGGAGCGCCAGCTGATGAGGCCGCTGCCAAGGGAGAAGCCATAGCCCTGAGAGGAGCGGCGGTCAGGCCTAGAGTCAGCCCAGGAGGAATCAGAGTAGCCAGTGAGGAGGGGAGGGGAGGGGCGGCCAAGGGTAAGGACGTAGTCCTTGGTCCCCTGAAGGTAGCGGAGGACACGCTTGGCCGCTTGCCAGTGGACGGCATCATGCTTGCCGATACCAACGAAGCGGGCCAATACGCTGATGGGGTATGCCAGGTCAGGGCGGGTGGAGACCATGGCATACATGAGAGAGCCGATGAGTTCAGCGTAGGGGTGGGAGGAGGAGGAGGGGGAGGTGAGGGGAGTGAAGTGGTGCCCAACAGGAAGATGGGTGACCTGAGGGGTGCCGCGAGCCATGTCGAACCGCTCCAGGAGAACCATGTCGAACGGCAGGTAGTGGCCCTGGGAGAGGGAAATGGTGCGAGCAGCACGGTCGCGGGTAATCTCCATGCCGAGATAGTGCTGCAACTCCCCAAGATCCTTACACTTGAGCCGGATTCCAAGCCCACGCTTGACGCGCTCGAGCTCGGCAGAGTCGGCAGTGATGAGGATCATATCGTCGACGTAGACGAGGATGTAGAAAGGGGAGGGGGAGGTGCGGAGGAAGAGGCTAGGGTCGGCGCGGGAGCTGTTGAAGACCAGCTCAGCGAGGGTGGCAGCAAGCTTGGCATGCCACTCCCTTGGTGCCTGCTTGAGCCCGTAAACCGGCCGACGCAGCTGCCAGACAGAGTCGGAAGGAAAGGGGAGGTGGAAGCCTGCAGGGCGCTCCATGTAAATGAGCTCGCGCAAGATGCCCTAGAAAAATGCGTTGGAGACGTCCATGGAGTGAATCTCCATGTTGAGGCGAGCGGCGAGGTCAAGCACTGCGCGGATGGTAGCGGGCTTGGCGGTGGGAGAGAAAGTGTCGAAGAAGTCGTCAGCGTGGCGCTGGGTCAAGCCCTTGGCGACGTAGTGGGCCTTGTAGACCGGCGGCTCGCCAGGCAGCTGCTTCACCCGAAACACCCACTTCCCTTTGACCACGTTCGTGGTAGAGGGAGGGCGGGGCACATCCACAAAGGAGGAGTTGGCAATAAACGCCTCCAACTCCTTGAGGATAGCGACGAGCCAGAGGTGGGTGTCAGGGCACGCCACGGCCTCCTCGTACGCGGCGGCGATGAAGATGGTGGGGGCGGAGGAGAAGGCGAAGACTGGTGTGCCGGTGAGGTCAGGGGAGATGGGTAGGAGGGCTGGATCATGTAGGTGGAGGTTGAAGATTTCCTCATGGGAGTCCTCGAGGAGGGAGGAGTGGAAATTGAATGGGAGGACTGCAGTTGCTGCTGAGGATGCATCTGCTGCTGCTGCTGTTGAGGCGGCTGCTACTGCTGCATCTGTTGCGGCCGCTGCTGCTGCTGCGCGTGAAGGTGAGGAAGGAGCGACGGCTGCTGCTGTTGGTGCTTCGGCGGTGGGTGGGACTGCTGCTGCAGCTGCTGCTGCTGCTGCACCTGCTGCTGCTGCTGCTGGGGCTGCTGTAGTGGAGCTCGACGGCAAGGTTGGGCTAGTGTTTTGTTGTAAGACAGCCTGAAAGAGGAGGTCCATGAGAGGGGAGAGAGGAGGCAAGGTAGAGGAAGAGAGGGTAACAGGAGGCGGGGCACCTAGGACTGCGTCACGTGACCTGGTGTGGGGATACCGGGTGAGGATGGAGCGGGTGGGACGCAAAGGGGGAGGGGGACGCGGGGGAGAGGGGGGAGGAGGGGAGGAAGGAGGAGGGGAGGGGGAGGATGGGAGGGAGCGGAGGAGGAGGAGTGGGACGGGGAGGCGGGGGGGAAAAGAGGGTCAGGGTCAAAGATGTCACCAGAGGAGGGGGGAGCGCTAGGGACCGAGGCGGTGGGGAGGGGAGGAGGTGGAGCGGGGGGAGGATGGGAGGGGGAGGGAGAAGAGGGGGGGGGGTAGTGTCGGACCAGGTGAGGGGCCTGGGAGCAGGGGCGAGAGGGTCAGGGGGGGGAGGAGTGGAATAGTCGGGTGTGGACTCATCAAAGACCACATCCCGACTGCGGAGGAAACGACCTGAGGGGGGGTGAAGGAAGAGGTAGTCCGGGGAGGAGGGGTTATGACCAAGGAAGATGCAGGGGAGGGTACGGGAGGCGAGCTTTCCCATGGTGCGGGGACGGTCCGCAGGGTGAATGAGGACATACGCCCTGGAGCCCCGCACACGGAGGGAGGAGACGTCAGGCTTGGTTGACGTCCAGAGCTCGGTGGGAGTGGTGGAGGGAAGGATGGGGTGGGGGTACAGGTTACTAAGGAGGGTGGTGTGAAGGAGGGCATAGCCCCATAGAGAAGGGGGGCAAGAGGCACGGACGAGGAGACACCGAGCAATCTTGGTGATCTCCCGAACACGGCTCTCGGCCACACCATTCTGCTGGGGGGAGTGGGGAAGGGTGTGAGTCTGGCGAATGCCATGAAGCTCACAGTAGGAGGCTACCTGCGGTTAAGGAATTCGCCACCGCCATCAGAGCGAAGGCGGCGGACAGGGCGGCCAAAGTGGGTGCTCGCCTGCTTGAGCCAGGCGATGATCGCAGCCGGAGCGTCACCCTTTGAGCGAAGAAGGGAAACGGAGGAATATCGGCTGTGATCATCGACCAGAACAAGCATGCAGCGATGGCCCTGGCGGGAAGGGGAGGGGTTGGGGCTCCAGGTGAACAAGATCAAGCGGCTGAGCAGAAGCGGAGGGGGAACTCCGATGCGGCAGCTGTTTGAGCTTGCTCTGGACACAAACGGGGCACGGTGGGGCAGGGGAGGGAGGGAGGGAGGGGAGGGAGGGTGAGGGGAAGACCTTGAAGGAGACCTGAGGAGACGGTCGAGCGGAGGGTGGCAAAGTTGGGGTGACCAAGCCTGTGGTGGAGGAGGACGGTGGGATGGGAGAGGGATCGACAGGAGCAAGTTGGGTCAGGGGGGAGGAGGGGAATGGTTGGGCTAGAAGGAGGGAGAGGAGGGGAGGGATGTGAGGGGGGGGGAGGGAGCGGGAGACTGCCTGGGCAGAGGAAGACGAGGAACCCGAAGGGTATATAGGCGGGAGCGAGGACAAAAGGGAATACGGGAGAGGAGGCGACCTGGTGGGATGGTATAGGAGGCAGTGATTAGCGCGACCTGGGAAGACGGTGGTGATACCGGCCTGCTGCAGGGATCGCTGGGAGAGGAGGTTAGTACGGAGGGAGGGGATGTGTAAACCAGTGACGGTACCTGAGGGGAAGAGGGACAGGGGAGGGTAGAGGTGTGGCGACAGGGAATAGAGAAGTTGGAATCGGCACCAAGGAGGGAGGTGGGGGCTACGAGAGGGTGAAGGGTACCAGCATCAGGAATGACTGACTCGGTGGTTCCACTGTCAAGGACAAAGTCCAGCGTGGTGGAAGGGGGAGGATGTGGGAGAGGAGGTGGGACAAAGTACTGAATCACATTCTCATTAATAGCAGCCGAATACATGGAAGGGGCAGGGGTTCCAGCCTGACTAACCATGCCAACAAAACCAGAGGAGGGGAAAGGAGTCACACTGCCTGTGGCTGCGGGCGCGGGAGACGCGCCCGAGAGGTGAGCTGCGGAAGCGGCGGTGCCGGCGGTCCAAGCGGGGTAGGGCTACTGGGGGGGAGCCATAGGAGGAGGTGCAAGGGGGAGCTGCGACTGGAGGTCAAGCTGCTGCTGCAGCTAGGAGAAGAGGTGTTGCTGCCCCTGCTGCTGCTGCTGCTGCTGCTGCTGCTGCTGCTGCTGCTGCTGTTGCTGCTGCTGAAACTGTTGCGCCAGGATCTGCTGTGGAGTCTGCTGTGCTGTTGTTGCTGAGAGACGGCCTGGTGAGCCAAGGGGGAGGAGACGGGTTGGAAGAGAGGGGAGGTACGAACCTCTTGAGGAGTGGGGCGAGGGGAGAGGGAGGACCAGCGGGGGGGGGTGCCGGTGTTGCCGCGGGCAAACCACTCATCACTGAGCGCTTTGAAGCAAGAATCAGTGGCATGAGTGGTCTGGCCGCAGCGCTGACCCCGCGTGGGGCCATAGCGAGGGAGATACTGACAAGGAGGAAAGGCGGCTGTTGCACCACGTCCTGCACCACTGCCACCACGACCCGCACCACCACCACAACCAGCACCACGCCCAACCCACGCCC